CCCAGAAATAATTACACGGAAACTGTATTCTTTCAAACACTGCCTGGCCCGGATAGTTCCAGTTCCTTATGGCTAGCTCTTACATATTGTTCTAACCCATTTCTAATATTCTGTGTAGCCCACGAGCTGGCTTACCAGGGAGGATCTTAACCTGCGTCTGTCTGGAGCGGGAGAACCATGGCGACTCCTCACACAGCTTCTTTTTCCCAGCATTCTCCTCTGTCTACTCCGCCTACCTAATTTTCTATCCAATAAAATGGGCCAAGGCAGTTTCTTTATTATTACAAGACCCACCTCCATCAACTGAGTAAGACTTGGAAGTACGTGAGAAGGGAGAGAAAGAATGAGTACCCGGACAAACTCCCACTCCTTCACTCTCAGGTATCTGGGCCACCCCTGCCTCCACCACCCCACTCTGGGAACATCCCTGGAGTATATCCAGTAATAAAGCAGGTGTCTACCTTGTTCATGCCACTCACAAGGGGTAATTACTTACCAATGTTTAGTGTCTATTATAATTTGTACTGTAAGGTAAAGGCTACCAGAGAGCGTCCGACAGCCTTGGTCTTAGGCATCAGTAACAACTCAGCTGAGAAGGAGGCATTACCCTGACACTTAACTGCTAAGCAGAGCGGACCAGGATGAAGCCAACCTGCCATGGACCACAGACAGCCTCAGGTGCAGGGGTCCTGTGGTCGGCCAGAGCAAGCTGTAACTGGATACTGGATTGGATGACACAAGGAAGTGACAGTGAAGGGCTGGGCCTCGGGGACACATGAAAGTGTTTATTGTTTTCTTCTTAAATAACATATTGGCAAGATAGTATGTAAAACAAGTAGAGCCCACAGGAAGGGAGTAAAGAACACGCGTTAGCATCTGAGGCATGACAGAGAAAATAATATGGGTTGAACATTGCTTGGTGACATTTGCATAAACTAGTTGCTACCCTAGAAAAATCTATGGGGAAATGGGGGCAGAAACATCCGAAAAAATTAAATATATGTCTGTGTGTTCACACCCACCGGCAGCACACCCAGGTGAGAGCGGTATTTTTAGTCTGATGAGAGGCTGACAAGAGTGACTGATAAAAGGAAAAAAATCCAAATTAGATCTGAAGAAGAAAAGGAAATTAATTTTTACAATAACAGAATCCCACAGCACGGCACATCCATTGGCCCGGGCTCAGCCTTGTATCTCTTCACAAGACCAGTTTCTATCTCTGGAAATTATGCGTCCGGGCGTTTACCTTGTCAGGCCTTCATTCGTAAGGAAGAAAGTATCTCATATTGCACGCCAGGAAACCAACTCCACCGAGCTGTGCGGAAGTCGTTGCTAATAGTCGAGGCTGAAAAGGAGAACTCATACCAAGTAGATGTGATTTAGAGTTGGGAAGAAAGGTCCGGTTTGGAAGTTTGAATCGCTAGCTCTCCTAGTGAGGATGTGAACAGCACGCTTATGTTTTGTTTTGTGACAAGACTTCGTGGAGCCCAGGCTGGCTTTGAACTCTTCATCTTTGTGCCTACCTCTCCATGCTAGAACTACAGGCATGTGCTACCACGCCCTACAATGCTTACTCTTGATGAAGGGGGTGGGGAGTTTCTCAAGAGAAAGAAAGAGACCTGGGGAGGAAGCAGATGCCCTTCAAGTGCATATTAACCTCCAAGAGTCTAGTTAATCGGGTAATTGGGGATTGGGTGTCACCTGAATGAACGCCTGTGGCTAACTCAGAGTTTATCCTTCAGGAATGGTTTGGGCGGAGGGGTTAGTGAAATATTCCATTGCTCACTTCTCCTGAACAATCGAACATCACCCTGGTTAGCAAAGTAGTGGGAGGAAGCCTTGAAGACTTTCCAGTCTAGGCAAGCGCCAGTCAGTCCCCTGACAGCCAGGGGAGAAGTTAAGAAAGAGCTCTAGTGAATCAGGATTTTAAAAAAGGAATTGGCACTGATCTTTGAAGTGTTTTCAGAGTGAATGTGGGAAACAGCACATTGGCATGATCTTGACTCGGAGGGACCGACAAAACGATAAGAAATTCGAAGGCTTTTTAGGAGAAAAGTGGTCAAGTAAGGACCCAGCCAGGCAATTATTCTCAGTTTTGGAAATAATGAGAAACAGTTGCATAAATTCTCAATGACACTTTTAAATCAGAAGTTTCACAGAGGATGGAGAGAACTTCTCAGGCAATGAGCTTTCACACACTTGGGTTTCCATGCTGCCCCAGGGAAGGCAGGTTTCTATGGGACCCACTCAAGTATCAGGTCATTGGGCCAACTCCCAAGACACCATGGTAAATGACTGGAGATTGTTTTCCACAAAAGTCCTCAAACAAATTCTGAGTTGGGAGACTTGAAGGGCTTTGTTTCAGTCTTCCTCTGTTTCCTACTGCTTCCTTCCATCCCTTTTCCTCCCTCCTTCTCTCTATGTCTGTCTCTATCATCCATCTATCTATAATCTATCTATCTATCTATCTATCTATCTATCTATCTATCTATCTTCTATCTCAGACTGGGTTTTATTTATTCCAGGCTGGCTAATAGATAAGGATGACCTCGAACTCCATCTACCTCCATCCACCTCTCCGCTCTCGGATTACAGGCATGCAGCACCACACCTGAACATCCGATGTTTTCTGATAAGGCCAGTGGCCACTTTGTGCCTTAGAGTGGTGTCAACTCTATCCTGGTGGTCATTAGTTCCTAATCTTTTAGAATACATGGAAGGTGTTCACTCTCAGGGCTCAACTTTCTCCTGTCCACCTCCCATTCTGTTCTCCTTGGTTAGCGTTTCCAATCTGCTCATTTCTTCACCTCCAGACTGACATGCAGCACCTGTTTCCAGAAGGTAGATGGTTTTCCTGTCTGAAGCTTGGGATCCGACTTCCTAAGCAAACCGCTGGCATTTATGAACCGTTCTCTGTCCCACCCACAGATGGGGGCAGAGACTTCTCTTTGACCATTTCCCTTCCTGACCAGATGATGCAGTCCCCACACCCTGACTCTTCCAGGTCTAAAGACACTTTAAACAGAAGCATAAGGAAGTCATAAAACCAAAAAATGAAGACATTTCCGCCTGCCCATAGGGACTGGAATCTGCATTCATGCTCCCAGCTGCCAATGCCCATCAGTTGCCAAGATCCTCAGGTTGTTCTCTGTCCCAGACCTCTGACCTGTTCCTCAGCCAAGTGGGTGGATACAAAACAGAGTGGCTCTGTTTTGACAAAACAAGACATGCCCCATGAGGGAAAGTGAGTTTTACTGTTGCAGCGACTATTTAAACAAAATACATACAAAGCCAATTAACTATCAAGGGGGTTCTGTGTGGAATGAGGCAGCCTCATGGCATTGTCATTGAAGACCTAAAATATATTTTAGAAGTGTCAGACCTGAAAAGTTGAAGATTTCCCTCAATACAAACAAAACCAGTCAAATGGAAGAGTGAATATCATATTTGATTTGTTTTTCTGAGTTTTGTAATAAAAACCCATTGACGAGAAGCTACTATCCCATTTCCTGGCTATTTTCTGTGGATTGAACTTCAAAGTGTTCAGTTGTAGCCATGAGCCTCACTTTTAATACCAATGAGAAATTATTGGACACCTTGCTTTTAAAGGAACAGTGGCCAGATAAATGGTCCTGAGATTTTGGATAAAACACAACCAGTATTCCTTATTTTCTAGTCTAAAACAGCTGAGTTATGGATATCCAATGGGGTCACTAGTGATACAGTCTGCTCCAAAACTCACAAGATGATACTGTGTTATCAGGAAAGATACAGAAATAAAATATTTTTATAAAAATGAATTTTTGAATATCAGCAAACATTCACAAATATGTAGAAGCTAGCATAGGAGCTCAGGAAAGCAAACAGTGTTTATTTTATAATCGAAAATATGGTGACTGTGTGGTCTGTGATAACTATTGTCCTATAAATGAATCTATGAGTCCAAAGGTTAGTTTCATCCCATAGGCTATCAGAAGCTTCTATCGCTAGTGCAATAGGCTTGATCTTTTTACTCTGTGCTCAGAAGCATTTGCTACGAACCATCATCTTTAAGTCTCATCTCATTCAGGCACTTCATGGTAAAGAAAAAAAAAACTGATGGGACCCTTGCTAGACCATAATCTCAAGGGCAATGCTCCATAATCCCTCATGCAACTGTTTAGACTCACGTCTGTGCTTCAGTGGCCAAGGGAGATTAAGAGGAGGACCACTTCCTGTGTAAACAGGAAGCTGCTGAACTTCCCGGATGGTGTCACACTAAATGCTTCCGTACTCTCCTTCCACCTTGAGCTTTGCCACAGTGCTGGTCACCCATTTACTTCCACGATACAGACGTTCAAATGATAAACTACAGAGGTCAGAGGATGTGAGGTGTCCTTACAGGAAATACTCAACTTCTAGGGAGGAGGATAGGCTATGAGGAAGCTGCCCAACTTTTGTTCCACTTTGGGACGTAAAACCTTTCTGTCAGTAATGACATCAACAAAAGAAAGGCGAAGGTTTGACCCATGAATGTCTGCTACCGTGGTTACATGCTGTGAGGAGGGGCTGTTCACTGAGGCTCATTATCCAGACAACTTAGCAGAACAGGTAAGCTTTAGGTTCAGGGAGAACCTGCCTTTAAAAAAGACAAGGCAAGGCATAATGAGACATCTGATGTTGACTCCTGTCCCCCACACTTCTACATATGGGTGCATGTGCGAACACACACATACAGATTTACGCCTAAACAGAGGCTTCACCAAATATTCAAGTTAAAAAATAGTCAACTTCTACAATTTAGGTAAATATTATTATAACACTAGGGTACAGATTCAAGAACAATGGCACAAGCGGCCAGAATGGGATGGCGGTCTGAAAATGCTAAGTGTCCTCACATGACAAGACACTCCGGCTGCGGAAGTCACCTCTTCTGTAGAGAGACAGGCAATAGATGCCAAACGCTTCCAGTTGCCTGAGCCCCACCCATGTTCTTGGGGTACTCAAAGAATCTCTTGTCTATCAGTCTCCAAGCTCCTTCCTGCTTGCCTCTTCCACCAGCCTGGGTCCCTGTTCTGCTTTAGTCCCAGAACTGCACTCTGGCTTCCCCAAAACTTGGAGGAATAGAAACAAAAGCAGCCGGCGGTGCACACCTCTAATTCCAGCACTCTGGAGACAGAAGCAGGCTTTATCTCTGTGAGTTCAAGCTGGGTCTACAGAGTGAGTTCCAGGACAGCCAAGGCTACACAGAGAAACCCTGTCTCTGAAAACTAAATAAAGAAAGAAAGGAAGGAAAGGGAAGGGAAGGGAAGGGAAGGGAAGGGAAGGGAAGGGAAGGGAAGGGAAGGGAAGGAAAGGAAAGGAAAGGAAAGGAAAGGAAAGGAAAGGAAAGGAAAGGAAAGGAAAGGAAAGGAAAGGAAAGGAAAGGAAAGGAAAGACAACTCACTTGTGTCCCACCAAAATACCTCAAGCAGTGGGGAGCTTGAACCCTGCATCCTCCTAGGCTGTACTTCTCCACGTGTTGAGCTAACATGCTCACCTGTTTTGGTTTCACTCTGCACGCCATGAAGGGAAGCTTAATCCAGGACGCCACCCTTGGGGCCTCAGATCTGCACCAAGATCTAATTGTGTTTCACCTTGTTAAAAGTCTCGTCTCCCCCAATTTATTTTTCCAGATATTCCTCCAATTTAAAACGATGCTAGGATTATTTTTAGGTTTTAGTCATTAGTCCTGGGACGCAGTTTTCAAACAGATTTATTCTCCCTGACATTCCTTCAATGTTTGATTTTCCTGCTTAAAGTGCTTTTTTTTTTTCTCAGCGTTTTCTTTTTTTCTATGAATGGAAGCATCAAGGGGAAAATGGAGGAAAGAACCTGGTCTGTACCCGTTGAATTGTGGGCAATCTCTGTGCTATTCTTTCTCCCTGACCAGCTGACCCCGGGTGAGAGGACACAGCCATAAGGAAAGCCTGCTGCTCGCTAGACTGACTGGCTCAGATCGTGGTCGACTGATAAAGAGGGAACGTCGGTTGGCTTGCTCCCTTTAAATTTCTTTTTAATTTACATGTATTTGTTGTTTTTGTGACACATCATACATGGGGTCAGAGGACATGTTTAGGGAAGTCAGTTTCTCCTTTTACCATGTGCATTCTGGGATCAGAGTCAGAGGTCGCCAGTCTCGGCAGTAAATGTCTTTACCAGATGAGCCGTCTCTTGGGCCTTGTCCTCTCCCCCTTTTGAGAGACTTTAGATATTTCCTACCCAAATGTAGGTTAAAATTGCTCTTCAAAGCTGAGTACACTGATATCCCCAACCTCTACGAGAAGAGTCAGTTCTCCATGTGCATGTGTGTGCACACACAGGCGTGTGTCTCTTTGTGTGCAGGTGTGAGCACTTGTGCATATGTATGTGTGCATGTGTATACTTGTGTGTGTGTGTGTGTGTGTGTGTATATGGCACTCCCCAACCAGCTAGTTTCAAAATCACCGGCAGGAAGCGTAACCCACTAGGCCTCTCTTTCCCCAGCTGTGAAGGGGTTAGTCCAGGGCTTTGCCTGGGTTCTCGCTACATGGCTCTTGCCAAGACTCATATCAACCCTGAAATCAACCTTGGCTGATCAATATTTCCCTTACTTCCTGTTGTCTCCCCGCATTGCCAGAAGGAGAAGGGCTTTTGGGACAGTTGAGGCAGGCTGGTTCTTTCTGGAAAAAGCATGATGATGTCCAAGCAGCATGTGTGTGCCCTTGGGACCTGGTCAGAAAACCAAAGTCTCGGACCCCACTCTTCTAAGACCCAGGAGGGGAGCCAGGCATCTGGGTTTTTTGATTTGAAGGAAGCTGGAAATTATTACACAGGATCTGTTTGGTGTTGGTCATCCTTCTCCCTTCTATTCAACGGTACCGAGTCTGCCGAGTTCAAGCCTAATTCCTCCCTCTCGTGATGGGGAGAAATGGCCTTCCTCTTGGTAATCCCTCTGTGATGAGCAAATGCATCTCATATTCTGTTTTTCCAGATAAGGTGTGAAGTGGGGCTGGCTTTAACAACATCAGCAGGAAGTTGTCAGTTGCCCTGGTAACACCCTGGCGGGGAGGAGTGCTGTCCTACTTTTCTTGTGAAAGGTTGAGCTGATTCTGTGTATCCATACAGCTATGATGGGCAGGGTGGCCAGAGAGGAGGTCCTTGTGTTTGAATGCTTGGTAACAGGGATGTAGCTAGGTGTTTTCCCCACATCTGGGACTCTCTTGATCCCTTTTATGTAAGCAGCAGTGGCAAAGTTTCCCCGCAAAGCTCTAGAGAGACTCTTAGGACCTCAATACAGTTGTAGATCACTTTTGCTTTCCCTGTCTCAAAGAAGTTGAGATGATAGTCAATAAAAGACAGAAATAAGGTAAACACATGAAAAGAAGCGAATCGAGAAAAGAAGATCAAGGGGTCCGTAAAGGGAGCATTTCACTGTCTGGAGAGT